TTGTTGCAGGAAAACTTCATTGATTTGATCTCATTTGACTCGTAACTTCATGAAATGTATTTAACATCTTTCCAATTATTTGTTTAATAGTGAATTTGTATCTGTATCAATATGATTTCTGTTATTTTATTTTATTTTATCATATCAGAATAAGACTGCATCACTTTGTTGTTATTGTCATTACAATTCAAAATTGTTTTAATGACACCATTGGCTGACATATTTGTTTTGCCTGAAAAAATGGTCAAAAATCATAAAATGTGTTAATTGATATTGTAAATGCCAATTCCAAATACATGTAATTCTATAGATATGTACATTTAACAACTAAATTATTCATATAGTTATAGTTATAGAAATAGTTATTTGTTCCAATCTATGTTCTTGAAAAGTATTCAAAGAAGGCCCTTATTCAACCAATCGCCTTTTATTCTTGAGTTACGAAAACACAAAAAACATCAAATTTACAAGGGATATGAATTGTTAACTAGAGCTTTACATTACTGGCTTGTGGGTATACTGTACCAGGTTTTTAACCAAAGTCTTGTTTTGTTTCAGTAAGTTCAATAAACTTAGATAGTTCATTCAACTTTTTCAGAAACCATGATGGTTGCTCTTCTTTTACCAGCGGGGTTCAGCTGTACTTTTTAGCCAAACATCCAGTGCGGTGTGACTGGTATAGATTTGTCTTTCCCTGGTATTCCTAAAATGAACAATAACAACATGGTTTTACCCAGGGCTCTAGTCTACTAAGTGTACTCTTCAAAACCTATTCCAGATTTGGCCATTATTTTCATCTGGTGACTCAGGGCGCTGTGATTTCTTTTATAATTCTGGGCTTATTGCTAAGTAATGGTAATCCTCTTTTCCCTCTCAAAACTGAGCCTTTTCTCTCACTTTCCCTTTTGCTGCCATTTGTCCCCTTTTTCGTATTTTCTAAGGAAAAAGAAGGAGGAAAAGAGAATGTATAGAGAGTCGAGGAGAGAAAGAGAAGAAAAAACAACAACAAACAAACAAAGAAACAAACACAAAACACGCAAGTTCTCATGTTAATACTTTTTCTGTGGACCTAATTTATGTGTACAATTAAGAGTAGAAGTATAGAAATACACTTAGAAGTTTTAAAGGAAAATAGATGAAATATTTTGTTGACCCAGCCGTTACAGATGTTTTCGTGGTCTTTTCCCTTACCAGAGATGGATGCAGTGTAAAATTTGTTTTCACTTCTATTTTGTTCTCGGTCATGGTAGCTGTTCCCTCAAAAAGGTGATTGCAATTTTTTTTAGAAAAAACAACTCGAGGGCAATTTCAATATCCTATTGTACAGGTATATGTGTACATTCATTGGAAATTATGTTCATAATACATAATACTTCATCGTCATTTTTGCAAATTTAAATAGGTGACACACAAGGCTACTGAATGTTCCTTATGTTGATTTTAAGTTTAGGTGACAATTTGTGGCAGTGATTTTCATACCATATTTATTTTCACTTCGAGTGAACTCTTTGTGGAGCTTTGTAGTAGACTTTATCCACATTCCTCTTTCATTTATTTTAGCTGATGTAGCAAGTATCACAATTACCCAGCTAAAATATGTATCTACCTTGATTTTTAAGGGCAATTTGTAAATCTGTATTTAGATTCAGATTGGCTTGGTTTTTTATTTAGTTTTTTTGTATGTTTGATGTATTTCTGGAGGATGTGTTTATTGAAATGTTCACAATGGATGGTTTACCTCTCAAATCTTTTTTAATGAGATGACCAATTTATAATTTATCACTGATTTTCCCAGTCCAGGGATTAAGAAAAGACTTAACTGTGCTTCCTTTTTGTTTTGTTATTCTACCGAGAGCATCCTTTTTTTCTGATTTTCTAATAATCCTAGCACTTTTTATAGATAGAAGTAAGGACCCTGGATGGTTTTTATTTTTAATGTTATTTTTAGTTTTCTTTATAACTTTTCCTTTTTGGGGTGAGTGCTATTTATAGACAGGTAGTCTATGAAATCTGTTTTCTTTAAAGTGAACAAGTGATTTCCTAATCCATGACTAATAAATTACTTGATCCTTTCCTATTATATTTGTTGTTTTACCATGAACACTTTTCTTTGGTCTATGCTATTTATAGAGACTTATAGCCCTGCTTGATTACACATAGTTATGCATAGGCATCTTATTTTAGACCTTTTTGTGAGGGGGGGGGGGGGGGGTCATTGCTACGCTAGACAGTTTATCTGTCAAATCTGCTTTCCTGAGAATGAATAAGTGATTTATAATTTGTCTATTTCAGGTATTAATAAGTTCCTTAATCTCTTTCCTCTATATCTGTTGTTTCATCATGTTAGAAACCTAACCCTTGTTGATTACACATATACATGTAGGCCCATACATTTCATCTTATTTTTAGATTAACAATTTTTTTTTTAGGGGTGGGAGGGTTTATCGGTGCTGCCATAGACAGTTAATCGAGCAATACTATTTTCATTGAATGACTAACCTATCAACAATTTCCTAATCCATAGATTAAGGAAATGCCAAATCTTTTCCATTGTATTTGATGCCCCCATCACGGTCCCTTGAATTGTGTCGTTCTACACCATCACTCAACCTCCGCAAACCGAATCCCTTCACCGCTGCCAAACTAAGACTGTCTGATATCTCTTAATTCTGATTGAAAGCACAATGAATTGGGGTGAAATCCCTAAGATTTGAAGCAAGAACTGACAGTCTGAAGCCAGTGAAGCGTTGTTATTCAATTTATTTAGATCTTTTTAGTTTCAGCTAAGAGCTTATTATTTAGAGATACCCCCATTTTCTATATTTGGAATACTGAACCTTTGATTGCAAAAAGGACCTGGTTGTATGTATTGAATGTGGGACAAAAAATGACCATTTCGAATGATTTTCACAAATTTCCTTTTGACCAATCACAAATATACTGAAGATTGGTGAGCCATTCAGCTCTCCAAAAAGAAAGAGCTTTGGAAAGATCTAAAACAGTTATAGTATAGAGATCATTCTGGAAGAGGTCTGATCAAATGATGAAATAATTCATAAATTATAATGAGAAAAATTACTTTTAACTAAAAAAAAAAGGATTCCTGTGTACAATAAGTAGATTGCATATCTTTCCTAGTTTTATTTTGTAAAACCCCCTGATGAGGTAAGAACTGTGCACTTAAGGTGTGGGGAATACTTTTGGTTGATTTTGCTTTCACAAATGCAAGGGATAGCTGATATCATTGAACAGATGCAGGCGGTGCGCTCGGGTGCAATTAACTCACGATTTCGTTTTGATTTGACCTTGCTTTTCTATTGAATAAACACGTTGTTTACGTGAAACCGCTGGGAAAGTGTCGCAGCAAACCTGCCATAACTTTGGCATATGACAATGAATCTTAAAGATCTTTACATTTTTGAAAAGAGGAATAATCATTTAAACTATACATTACATTTTTTTTTGTAATAACGAAGAAAAAATGGGGGCAAAAGGACAAGAAACTTTGTATGAAAAAAAAAAAAAAAAGAGTCCGAAATAATGCCTAAAATTACACATTTTTAATATTTGGACAATAACGATATTCGAATATGTTATTGAATAACTATTAAAGAAAATTTCTGTGAAATATCAATTTCATAAACCAATTCGGCCGGATGTGTCTGGTAATGATCCAACATAATGCATTTTCATACCTTCAATACGAGCACCGATCTACCGAGTCGTCCCCACATTACATCGCGGGTGATGACGTCATGCTCAATAGCACAGTCCCACACACTCTAGTTTGTGTTGGCGTTGATCGGTAAAAACGGCTTTCAACATGATTTCGTGGCATAGATTGTAATTGTTGCAATGTTTGAATTAACCCCCAAATTTCTCCAACATTAATAACAAATGTATATTACGGAAATAAAGCTAAATTACACTGATTATCTTAGCTTTACTGTAAATAAGACGGAATAACGTGGCGTCAAACATGTACATTGCCCGTACATTGTCGTGAATATCGTCTGCACCAGCAGTGCACCGCGAGCCCATATATGCCTAGCTATAGTCTGTGTCCATCGTAGGAGCAGGAGGTGCACTCCACCAATACTACTTTAAAATAATAGTAGTTGTATAAGTAGTAGCAGTCGTAGATGTAATAATAATGATAGTAATAATAATATTAATAACAATCATAATAATAATCAAATATTATTTGTAGGGGAATAGCAGGGTATTTCCCGGCAGAAGGGGGGGGGGGGGGATTATGCGTAATTCGATCGCCACTCTTCATCCAATTTAAAATAAATGAAGATCCCCCCACCCCCAATAGCAAACCCCTGGGTAATATATCAAAATAATAGATATACTTCATGATTATAATGATGCTGCTGCTTAAATTAATAATGGTAATAATGATAATTAAAAAGTAATAGTACTTATAACAGGGAAGTGTTTTACCCTGCTTATAATAATGATTGTTATTATTATTATTATTATTCATTATAATGGTTATAATAGTACTTCGGGTAGGAAGAAGTCAAGGAAAAATATCCCAATCAATGAGTGACCATGCAAGAAATATATAGGTAGCTAGATACCTAGCTGTAGGCCACCATTTATTGCAAAAGCATTAACCTTTTATTGCTTGCTTTTTTTTTTAATGTTAAGTTGACTCAAGCGATGATTGTCTAACATCACTTTGTGATTTAAATTTTTTTTTTTTTAATGAATTAACCCAAGTCTTTGTTTTGTGAAATAAATTCTGGAACCAACTGAGAAGAAACCCGGAGCCTTTGTCGACACATCCACGCCATTATAAACACTCACTTTAAATTCTGGCACAAAAATCCACATACCACATGCACACTTGCATTTACCTTTCTCACAATGATCCATGTACCACCTTCATGTAAATCACTCTCCGATTATATATAGATATCTCTGAATATCATTTCATCATTTACTGCAAAACATTAACCACTCGACCAATGAATAACACAAAACAGCAATTTCATTTTAAAAACAATTCTCAATCTGCATATTATAATTGCCACTTCACTTCAGATACAATAGGCAAGATACTTCCATTATGTAACTTGCATACAAAACAGGAATGCTTCTTTTTTTTCTTCAATGCAATAACACTGTATATTTGTGTGTTAAATGTACTTGTATACTTAAATTAACATGTATACAAAAACGAAAGACTCAAATAAATACTTATATCCATGTCTCACATACTTTTCATTGTACATCTAATACTTCTTCAATAAATATAAAGCTTTGTATAAATAATAAAACAATCTGTTTTGAAAGCCATTACTTTATGTTTACTGTCATCTTTGGTTCAATCATGCGCCAATAACACGCAATTGTTCAAATGTGTACATGAATGAACATTATTGGAAACAAGTGAAATGTGAAAATCTACATGGAGTTCATAACTTGCATAATAATGATGAAGATGCACGTATGACATGGACTAACCAAGTCGAAAATAGGCACAAAATATGCAGGTAATGTTGCAATGATACATGTAATGTTGTACTATGCAACATCAAATGTAATTAAAAAAGTATGCATATAAATTTGAATATGTAAGGAAACAGGTCTATTGCCAATTATCTGAACTTTTCACTTATTCACAACTTCTAAAACAAATACTTTAAATTGTCTTTAAGCATTGAAAGCACTATTCTCTGGAACACCAGGAACTAATGTACTAAGTACAAGTTAACCCTATCGTGTGTACCATATTGTAACCAGAGTGCTAGTTTTACACTACTTTCGGGCTTCCTGACTCCTTCACTATGAAATCACCATCCAAACTGAAGAACACTGGTAGCCAATGCTGACATCTTTAAGGGAGCGCCATTCTGCAATAAAATAGAAAAACAATTAATGAATTGAAATTCAATTGTATTACAGCAAATAAAGAAAAAAAAGAGAAATTTAACATGATTTATATTTCACATTCATATGGTTATATATTAACTCTAACATTAGACAGCATAACTTACATACACTACTCTATAACAGACATTACCAAAGTATTATATGATCAAGAGCCAGATTATGGAAAGAACTTCAAAAAATACCTCAAATGGATCTCACAGCTCAGTTAGGCATGATATTCATAAATGATAATTGGGTCAAATTTGGTCTACATGCATGATAATAACCTTCAAGACATTGTGTTTTTCAGCAGGGGCGTAATGAGCCAAAAAAAATTGGAGGGGGAATAACGGAGCTAAAGTTTTGGATATGGTGCATGATTTTTTTTTAAAACAAAAAAAAAGAGCAAGCGAGAAAAAAAAATCTACATTTTCTAATTTTTAAATAAATAATTCTGTCACAGAATTTTTGGTAGATAATTTGATTTTTCTTTGTCTAATTCTAAAAAGGAAAAAGAGGCAGATATTAGAAGAATTTAAATGCAAATTGTAATGTTGAAAAATACAATGAGGATTTAACCAAAAAATACCCTTTTCGTGAAAAATTGGGGGTGTTTCAGTGTACAATGAGGTCAAGTTCAGCAAAAGCAAAGTATTAAGATCTGGAAATCATTGTTTCCACATTCATCAGAGTGAACAAAAAATTACTTTAGGAATATTAAGATCTAAAGCTCCTGATGAGTACTTCTTAAATGTTAAATAAAACAAGACTCTCATTTATCTTGATAATTAGACACTGGATTGAAAAAGACTAGTGTCACCAGGCACTGTGAGAGAAATTTAAAAACAAATGGTACATGTTGTTTCTCAGAATGATTTGACATCACCAAGGAACATTGCCTTTAACGACTTCATGGTGATGAAAAAAATGCCAACTCTACTTGACAGTACATATCTTACCTAGTTGCATGAAGACAAATCTGCTTGGGCACTAGGGTTGGTGAACACTCCACAGAGCCATAGTGGGATGTAGAATCTGTGATCACTCTGAGGGAACGACCAGACAGCTTCAACACTGAATGGAAGAAAGGAAAAATATTGTAAGTGAATAATGAGAGTTAACATGTATGAATATACATAATTACAAGTCTAGTGCTTGACGTGACGTTATCGGAACGGCAGGAAAATCAGTGCCGTGGCTTGAGACTCCAACCAAATGTGGGAGGGTTGACAGCCATGTCTTACCATGGTAGACTTATAGCAAAAAACAATTTGGTATTCAAGAATTTCCACATGAAAAATACACACACGTTCTTGCATATTTACCTAAGTACGAGGTCACATCACGTCAGCCTGGCCAGGCTCGGCAGCGGCCGCCAGCAGTGTCGGCCGTTCTTCAATGCTCGACCAATGTGTATCATATGCATTAGGACATCTGCCAAGTCATGAAGTTGAGAAGGGGAGCTGGAGGTTACTTGAAGGTAAGGCTACATGAAGGTTTCATGGCCCTGCCTACATATTCTATATGAAAGAAGGTGAAGAAATTATTAATTTTTTTTGTAGAGATTTGAAGGTAAAACAGGTTAAATAGACTCTACAAGAACATTGCCATTGATTAATAAAGTTTGACTTTAGTTTAGAGTTTAGTAAGTAGGATGAGGTGTCGTGTGTAATACAGCTGCATGCACATGGATTATATGCACTTGAAATTGGGTCGACAATTCATTGGCTCCAAGATTCGTTCATTAATATTGCCGAGACCCGTGAATATGAATCATTGCCATTTATATTACGGTCACTGTAACTCATGAGCTCCGCCGCCGACGGCTTGGCGGCGGAGCTCCCTGGAGTTATGGTCAATGAAGCTAATGCAGCTGCGCTGCAGAGCAGTAGCACTAAGCCACTATCAGTCAGGCATTATGAATGGCACATATGCGTAGCAGATTCGCCACTTTTTTTTTTTTTTTTTTACCTATGAATACCTATTTTTCATAGAAAAGGAATATCAAACATCGATTTATGGAAAAAAAATACTTCATTACAATTGAAATGCGCCCTTACCTTTGTTTCTTTAGAGGGTTTTACAAAGTCAAAGATCCACTCGATCGGCTCGGCTGAAATCAAAACAATACCTCTCGATCACTGCATGCAATCAATGCTAATGCGTGTAGACCTCTAGCGCAGCACTACATGCTAGGAGGCAGCAATCGCACACATGAATAGTCTATACACAAATTACAAACGAACGTACACAATAAATACGATGCGGTTGATCGGCAAGTTTGACAGTGGACTCACGGTTTTAATTTTTTAATTTTTCTTTTTAACATCATTAAGTTAAAAAAAATATTATATTTTACTACTATTTAGGTCTCATCAATTGTCACTGGTATATCTGTTTTGAGTGGAATCAGATGAGTATTGTACAGTGGTGTTTGAAATGTTGAGAATCAATAGCACAGATTTTAATACACAGCCAGGATAGTAATGCAGCTATGTGTGCTCACGATCAGCTGTCTGCGTAGGTTTACGTAATTTCGTGTCAATGCGCATGCGCGAGTCTTTGATCGAGCGGTGACGTCGATTTTCTCGTAAGTTTGCTGCTTCTCGATTTCTGAAAAACACCCTATTCATTTTCCATTGTATCTCCGAAAATAAGTGATGGTCACAGCGAAAATTTCGTCACCAGCACCGTAAAGGTCTCATGAATATGCATATTAAGTTTCATGAATAAATAGCCAGATTGCCAGATGTGTCTGATAATAATCTGAGGGTAGTTTTCGGAGACGACTGAACATGAAATGTTTGATAAAATGATAAATAGATCATCACTTAATACAATTTTTCATATATAGTTCGATATGACCATTTTACATCATTCCTGAGAGTCTGAGCGAAATCCGCCAACGAACAAAGAAGATATGAGAGAGAGAAATTTTGGTGAAAAAGTGAGCTTGGCAACGTGAGTGCTTCGATGACCGTTGAATATTCAAAACGATTTCGGTGTTATCAGTGAGATAATTGGCATGCTCCGCACCGCCTGGATGGTGGATGCTGTGGATCTACTATTAGGCCATGTTCACATGGGGCTGTCACAGCTCTAAACTAAGCTAACCCTTGAAGTTATAAACAACGATCCACTGACCATGATGAGGGTTCGCACGGGGGTAAAGTAATGGATTTCTAAGTTTGGAGCTGCAAATCAAGCAATATAAACGTGTATTCTCATAATTCATTTCTTATATTGAGTAAGAATCCCCGCTGCTCGTAGTTTTCGTGTTTACCATAATTAAGATCTGACGTACATGGTTTGTAATTTTTAGGTAACTTAAAGTTACGTAATGATGGGTGCATCCGCATGGTAACTAATTACATGATAATTAACTAGAAAGTTTAAATCCATGATTTAGGCTGCGTTCAGATATGACGGGGCAACTCTGCTATGGTTTTATTAATGAGGACATAGTAATACGCCTCACATTTCTGTATCTTATATAGAGAGGGCAGTGAATATGCTTGACCTTTGTTGTGCGCAGTTGCCATTGGTGTAAAAGTTTTTAAAAAAAGGGTGATGGCTAACTGCGTCATATCTGAATGACCCCTCATTCACACGAACTGTCTGTCGTGTGAACCTTACTAATGTTTTGAGTAGTGACTGCCCGACTTGCCTGCTATGCCAGAGCAAGTGGGGAATTCCTCTCAGCCAGTACCCTGGGTAGTCCATGGTAGCATACAGGGGTCTGCGCATACTAGGGCTATGAGTCATAGGGTTGTGCTTAGAGCATGTTCCAGACCTTTCTGAACTCTCTCTGGACTGGTCTAGACCTAGTCTGTACGTGCAGACTGTAATGTTACCCTGGTAGTCGTAGTAGATGACAGAGGTGTGTTCATATATTTGCTATAATGCCTAGGACTTGTTCAAAACCATTTTTATACCTCTGTGGAGCTATCTAGACCTAGTCTACACTCGTAAACAGACTCTAATGGTACCTTGCAAAATGACAGGCAATGCTTATGAGGTCTACGATCATCTCTGCACCCTATGGACACGTCTAGACCCGGTTTGTGAGAACAGGCTCTCATAGTGCCTTGACTAAATGCGGGTCTGGCAGGGGTATGTTCACATTTGTCATTGCTTATGATTAGAACATGCTTCAGACCTGGTATGATGTCTCTCGCAGGACCAGTCTAGACCTAGTTTACAATTTGAGTCTCTAATGGTACCCAGGATTGATCATGAGGGTCTAAGCACTGCCGGAACCATGAGTCATTGGTCTATGACTATGAGAAACTAGTCCATGTTTAAGGCATGTTTGAGACCTCTTTTAATCTCTAGCCATGCAGCTAGACTCAAATCATCATCATATCATCAGAAATAATGAAAGATGGCTTCGTAGTTGTAACTGTGTTTGTGAAAAAAAGAAAAGAGGTTTAGACAAAAGTTTCCTCAAAGTTATATATTAAATGCTGAGCACCATGCAGAGTCGCAGACCCTGGTCATTCTTCTCCAGCCCTGTCTAAAAGTGTCTATACATATCTTTCAGAGCTTTGCTTTCATTTTTGCTCAGTAAGTAATTTATTTCAAAGTTTTCCAGGGTGAAGTTACTGCACTGCATCATACTTTAAATGACATTATGAATGCATTCCAAATGTTACTACTTACTAGACCTGAATTACAAATGGATTTGGTCCATTTGCTTGTCTTTCCCAAATAAGGTCCCCTCTACCAGCTGAGAAACCCCCATATGAGTGTCTCCCACCCCCTCCTGTCTCCTCATTATACTCTTATCTACACAGTCTATCTTTAACAAGCACTGCATTTTCCAAGATTTAGTCATCCCCATCTAGTCAAAATATTGTCATATTTTGCATAGTTTGGGGTTGTAGCTGGCGACCATCACAAGACGCGATCGCAGTTCATTGCTGTGTGTCATCTCAAAGATTAATGATGCTAGTGTCTCTGACGTCTGTTTAATGATGAGGCTGGCATCACTGGGGGACAGGATCATTCTTCCTCCTCCATCCCTTCCTATCTCCCCTCCTCTTTCCTTCTTCCCCTATTCTCTTTCATCCTTCTAAGCCTTTCTCCCTTTGCTCCCTCTCCATCTTCCCCTGTTCTTACCCTATTTTTCATCACCCTTTCTGTTCTTTCCAGTTTTTCATACTTTTGCTCTTCATTTTTTAGCTCATCCGGACCGAAGGGCCCGATGAGCTTATATATGCCATGGCGTGGCGTCCGTCGTCCGTCCGTCCGTCGTACCGTCCTTCCGTCTGTCTGTCCGTCCACAGTTTTCAAAATGCTTCTTCTTCATTATTTTTCAACCGATTTTGATTCTGATTGTTTCATATGATAGGGCTAGGAGGGGGATTTAAAACTTCTACACAGAATCGTAAAATTCTTTATCTATGCTAATTTATGCAAATTTATTCAAAATCACAAAAAATGCTTCTTCACCTTCATTTCTCTACCGATTTTGATTTGGTTTGCTTTACCTGGTAGAGCTAACTTTGGTACACTAAACTTCTACACAGAATTTTGAGATTTTGCTCCATTGATTAATTATGGTACTAAGTTTGAGTCCTGCTTGTCATAAAACTATATATTTTTCAACCAATTTTCATTCCATTTCCTTTAGTTTCTATTTAATCTTGTACAGCTAAATGAAATTATGTCCCTTCCAGGGCATCAAATTTTTATTTTTTGGCCAGTTCAAAAGTGTACTACATAAAATTTACGATATTGTTGTTGCGAGATGCGGATGAGCGCTACGTCATTGAAGTTCTGGTTGTTTCCTCCTGACATATTGCCTTTGAAATTTGCAAAATGAGTCTTGACAGCACTTGCCAAACAGCAAATTTTACATGTCCTGATTTTCTGTTTTAATGTGATAAATGTATCTTGAATTGCTTGCCAAGCATCATGGTTTACTGAGCAATCAACACATTTGGGCTCTTGCATATCTGTTTATTAACTTTATTTCCTTTCATGTTCTCCAAATGAAAATGTTTTGGAATGTTTGATGCATTGATTCATCCCTCCCGCCCTTACCACAGAGCAGTCAAGGAAACTCTTGCAGACAGAGAGAATTAGCCTGGAAATAAGGCAATGATTCTTATCAATCTGTTTGTGAGAATAAACTTGCCACAAGGATCTAACCAATGTTCAGGATGAAAGACCCAACTCATATTGGCAGGATTTACATTTAAAGGTTAACATCATAAAACATGGCCAAAGATACAGTGAAAGCCAATTTGTTTTAGGACATGTTCTTCATGAACTGAATTTCAAACTTCACCAGTGGAATCACACTGTCCCCCACCCTAACACTTACACTGTACCCCACCCCAAACCTCACACTGTACCCCCACCCCAACACTGACACTGAACCTAACTTAACCCTAATAAGGCCGGGGGGGGGGGGGGGCATTATGGCCCCCCCCCCCCTCCTCTACGATTTTTCTGATTGCTCAGGAACGCATATGGATGGCGCCCCGCCGCTCGCTGACTTTTTTCTTTCGAGTCTTGCGTAACTCGGACCTTTGGTTACAAGGTCACGTGACCTTTTGTCTTTGCATGTCAGCCCGAAAATCGCTTATTTTCGTGATTTGTGTACAAAACATATGGAAAAGTCATTTTTCCTAAAAACAGTTAAAACATGGGTTATTGGGTCTTGTTTTAAGTTTAGGTGGCTGTTTTAGGAGTCAAAATAGTTGAATTGTAGTAAGAAATGAAATAAAACAACAAAAACAATGAAATACATAAGTTAAAAAAACAATGAAATACATAGGAAATTATCAAAACAAGGGATAACATAAGGAATAAGCTGGCTCTTCCGAAATTTTTTGCCGTATTATTGTTCAGAATGGTCTAATGAATTTATGTAGTGAAAAAAAAAATGCTTAAATATGAATAATATATGATTTATGGGTAAAAATGTGATTTTTTGGACTTTATTTGCATAAATTACCATAAATATGCAAATTAGTGAATTTTTCAAAAAATTGAAATTATCATATTATTCTATACACTTTACTTGACATGCGTGCAAATTTTCGCGGCAATCGGAAGCTTTGCGGTCGAGATCTTAAGGGGGCCCTAATGCCCCCCCCCCCCCCCCCCCCCCCCCCCGGCCGTAGTAAGACCTCAAATAGCCCAGCCTTTTTAGGGTTAAAACCTTTTGATATTACTTGAAGCCTAGAGCAATTGAACCAACACAAAGTATTATGGTCAGGTTTACCAGAGGAAAAGTGTTATTTGAATCTTTAATTCAATTCATACTTTTATATTCTTTTGTAA